TAGGCCCGAAACGTCAGCCTTCCTGCTCCTCTGATGCTGCTTGGCCTGCTGTGTTCATCCAGCTCTGCACCTTGTTATCTCAGATTCTAGCTTTGACGCCTTTGGAACATTATCTTTCTTTAGAATTGCAATGTTCTCCATTTTCAATACTTGCTAACTTTTTCCTCCTTCCGTCCTCTGTCATAGACTTTGATCTCCATTAGCCACCTAATGTAATTTTCATACTGTCAAGTGGCACAACTATGGCACATACCCATTTAGTCAAATCTTTAGCAACTTGGGAGTCACATAATGTTGCAAAGCAGACAATTTGGTGCATAGCAGCTGCGCTGAAGCTTGCCTTCACAGAAACCATCTCGGTCAAACTTATCCTCCTTCTCTTACCAAAAGGCATTTTAGTTTCTCTTTCCAATAGCTCCACCCCACCCCTGAACTCTTAAACTCCCTGTTAACGCAAGAGATGGCGCCACAATTGGCCTCTGCAGCATCAAATACATTTCGGAAATGCACATGATTTCCTTTGTAAATCTTTCACTTCAGGAATTCTCTCCTCAGGCTGGATCATATCGTTTGTCACTTGTTCTTGGCCATAGTTTGGTTGCTGCCCGGCAACTTTGTTTTGCAGGTCCACAGAGACCCTCATGGTGGTTGACACTGCAATCCAAGTGTTCTCCCTCCCTTTGGCTGGCAGCGTGTCAGTTGTAGGTGGTCTGCTGGCGTTTCCACCTCTCTTTTTCTGGTGTGGTGAGTGGGTGAGGAGGGGATGACAGCTGTAGTCTGACTGAGCTCAGCAGCTTTCCTGCGTCACCCTGTTGGGCATGGGCCACAGTTGACTGCAGCGCCACAACACTTCCAGCTGCCAGGCTTGGCAGTGGTGTGTGTTCCAGACCAGTTAGGAGGCGTAGTGCTATCATTTCTAGGGGCTGTAGGGGGCTCAGCAGGTTATGGGACCCCTGGTGCAAATTCCTGCTAGTAGAATGGCACAGGGAAAGGCTGGGCACAGGAAGCAGCCTCAAGTCATGACAGTCAATTTCAGGCCACAATAACTTAATTCATTGGTAAATGGGATGTCATTAAATATGAACGCCTTGAACAGAGTAATCATAAAGCTCAAATTCAAGTGCTGATGCTTATTTACCATTGCAGATCCTTGAGTCAACCAAGACTCACTGGAGGAGTATGAGATATACAACCAGGTTACAATGGACAGGTACTCCAGTTTGCCAGCAGCAAAGCCACATTTAAGCACTGTGTCAGAATTTAGACTACACAACTGTAGTTCATTATTATAAATGTCAGTCATACAAGTATACCTGGTTGCGTTGATACAGCAGGTAAAGACTGTTCATGTCATGCCACTAAACTAAGCTCCATTGAGTTTATTATTTAATCTAGGAAATTATTTTACAAACCTGACATTTTGGTACATTTGCGGCACAAACTATATTTGGATTGGATGTTTTAACTTGAAGGAAGCAAATAAAGTGCTGTTTTCACTGACGTTGAAG